TTCAGCATATCAGTATAGCTAAAGCATTTACAAAATACTGCAAAATAATATATTACTGTAGATGGAGTGTCAGCCCTTTAAGCTACAGTCTCCAGACCAAAACATTTCCAGCAATCTCATCTTGTAACAGGACCTTTTTTATAATATCTTCAATGGTGTGAAAGGGAAAGAGATTCTTATCTTTAAAAAATTGTGGGGTTTTCTAGGAGTTTTAAAAAAAGCCTTTGTTCTAAGAAACTTTTTAGAAACCTCAACTTAACTCATATCTGTAACTTCAGTCAAAAAGTGCCTAGAAACAATTACAAAAGTACAAATCGGATGCGATGTTCACAAACTCAGTGCCTGAAAGAGACTGATGCAGTGCTGGGAGTGCTGACGCCTGCACTGTGACTGCAAAGAGGAAAGGGGGCAGCACACATCAGAATTGGAACTTCTGGCAAATGATGCCCTACAGTGCTAAAGGTAGTCAGCAGAGCCTGCCATTGAAAGAGACATGTCTAAAACTCAGGGTCTTGCTCTGTCTGGGACCTGCTAGGTATGCCATTCACAATACAATTGATAGGCTACTGGTGCTTTTCCTCCTGAGGTGAAATTTCAGTTCATGTTTGCTGCACTGTCTATCCATTTTGTGTCAAGTCACAACTCCCACTAGACAAAGATCCAGCTTAGAGGTTCTGGTCTGGCATCTAAGCTCACAGCAGTCAGAAGCTCTCTAAGTTGCCTTGCACAAATCCTCTATTTTTAGGTTTGTACAAGGCAGAGAAGTTATCAGGGCAAAGGAGCAAAGCATGATACATTTACCATGAAAGGTCTTCTCAGGCAGGACACCACGGATTTCTCCTGACTCTCATCCCTTGAATGAGTCAAGACTATTCAGGCTAGAATATCAGTATCTTCTCTTTCTTCCCTTTCAGCCCTGAGTTTAACCTCCATGTCTCTTCTGCTGCTGGTTGGGGTATAATCTTTCCATCTGCCCAGGACCCTCATGTAGCTATCTTACAGAAACTACTCAGGTACACCACATGTGGAGGGACTGGGGATACGGTATATCCGCTAAAGCCATAGTGCCTATCACATTTACTATACACTGAACTTTCTCTCCGTACTCTTTTTCCCCTCCGTGTGCAAACACGTCTGCCATAGGTGGGCACATCAACAGGGATTTATGCAACAACAGTCAAGCACCCGTTTTGTCAAGCACCCTTTCAGTTATTCTGAAGTTCCTGCCTCTTCCTTTTTATCTTGACCTTTCATCTTCCTGATGACAAGTCAGTACACTTCATAATTCAGAAAGCAAAATCTTCAGGTCAAGAAATCTGTGTTCTTGAGCTTTTACATTTCAAGCTTTTAGTTTTTTGGTAAAAGTAAGAATTAACCTGGTCAGGCAGCAGTGGAATAGCACATGTTCTGCAGCACACATTCTGGGATTCACAGGAAAGTGCACTGCCTCACTGACTGGCTAAGGCAATTGTCGGTAATCATCTTTCAAGAACTTTCACATTAACATTGCACCATGGCAAGTAGTCTAAAGGACCTCTCAGGATGATCATTCCAACAATAGAAAGGCACATAAAACAAGTTTGCCAAAATGCAGTCACACATGTCCTGAAATGAAGCATCAATCTATGGAATTGCTCTGAAAGAAGGTAACTGGTTAATATCCTTGATGCTGGGTTTCCAGTGCTCTGAGAGCCACATAAGAGCCTATCGCAGCCCCAAATGTCTTCTCTATGAAGGTCGACTGCCCTGTAGTGCATTTATGACCAGTCATTTTCTGTGTAGTTTCCAGAGAAGCATTTGAGCAGACTGTGCATTTGTTCCTCAATTGGCTATTCTCAAATAAAAATTGTTTTAGAGATCCTGAACAATAACACAGCCCTTGGGAGAAAAGCTTCTCTGCATTAGCCATCAGGCTGACACAATGAATGATTACATCCAAGCATAAAATTTAATGAGATTTCTACAAAAATGAGTGACATCTGCATAGCACTCAGGTCCTGGCTAACTGTCATACATTTGTCATCACCGAGGCTTTTGTCCTTTATTAATCTGCTTTCAAGAACGCCTGCTGTTGGAAATGAAAATGCTTTTTAGCAGTCATCCTGCAGACTGTGTCAGAGCGCACATCTCAGAAAGCATAATGACACATTGTCATGCCTAGGAATGCACTTAAAAGGTTTAAAAAACATGAAAGAACTCCGAAAACAAAATGTATTGAGAATTTAGCAGGAGATGTCTGTGTAAGTATACTTTACATCCTTTAATATAAGCAAGATGTTTGTTCTTTTGCCTCTAATACAGTGGCTAGAAACTCTTTAACAACATTCAGTGTGCATGGGAAAAATAGTGTTGTAGACAAAAAGTAAAAAAGTATTTCCCTTTAATCTTGTTTGTGCTTGGGACCAAGATATAATTCTAGACCTAGGGCTCCAACCCGGTAAAAGCATACGATTGTATCAAGATCCCAGCTTTCCTTTAAACTTTCCCTCATGGCTACAAATAAAAATTTCACTAATATTTTCCTACATCAACAGATAGCCTGAAACAATAGATGATGGAGATTGAAGATCACCCTATTTTATTAAATTAGCCCCAGGACTTGCTATTCTGAGATGAAGGCCTGACCTGGTGCTTCCCATCAAAGAACAGCAAACACTTGGCAGGAAGGCAGGAGTGCAGAGGACACGTTTACTCCCGGGAAGAAAAACAAGTCATTTCAACTGCAAATGAAGATGGGAATCCAGAAGGCCAAGAGTCACAAGGTGTCCAAAGGCATCTACAGCATCAACGTCAAGTCTGATCGCACCCAAACCAAGGGAAGAGAAGAGACTCCCAGCACTGAAGCTGTTCACCACCATACACGGAAGTGGAAAAACTTGTTTCCTGGGCTTCTGTGAAGCAATTGCAGCGTGTGATGGAGCCAGTCTTTTTCCATTATACATCCATAATACTAGACCTCACTGAATTCCTTCCATTCCAGGGATGGAAGGAATTGAATCCCTTGAATTTCAAACATTGATTTGTCTTTGTTGTTATTGTTGTTATTTCTAAACACCATGCATTTCCAACATTTTAATGTCAATTGTTCGTAGATCTCTGTCAAGCAAAGAGAGGCAAAGTGGCTAATGTAAATTGCTTTCTCATTTAAAGGATTCAGTGTCTCTTTCAATTCTGAAGCTACTGAGCCCAGCTATTACAAAACTCTGATCATACTGTTATCACAGTTCATGTAAACATGCTTTTGTTGAAGGCATATCAGAGGAAATATAAAGCTGCTTGCAGCTGCAAATGGCAAAAAAATCACAGGAACTAAGAATGTTTCTGTTAATGGGGATTCTTAGCCTTTGTTTTTAGATAAATTTGCTTCTACTCATGAACTAAGGATTTTAGCCACCAAAAGATTTGATTGAATGAAATAGCACTAAAATATAATAGTGCTGAGCTCAATGATGCAGAAATCCTAGCTACAGCTGCACCAGACCTGAGTTTTTGCCACCCTGATTTGCAGTTGCTAAGCTCTGACAGTTCAGCAAGTGGGACTGCGCCACTCATCACGGGTTGTGGCAACAGAGGTATATAAAGGGCCTGTTCCACTACAGCTCATGCTACATACAAGCAGCATTGGGCTTCTACAAAAATGTAACAGCAGTTGCTTTCTATTACTAAAGCTGTTTCTATCACCACCCTTCCTGCAGTTTCATTCTGGGAGAAAGTTTCCAGTAGCGCATTTCTGATTCCACAGTCCACCATCTCTGTAGGAGCAGAAGCAAAACTTCAGCCTTCAACAACAGGACGGAAAAGAATCAGAAGGATTTTGGATGCTAAGAGAATCCAGATTTTTCATAAATAAATATAGCTATTAATAATATTAACATTAAAACTACAGCAGTTTTAAGTCCTGCCCTTCAGTACTTATATAGGCTTCTACATGAAAGAAACCAGAAGAAAGATGTTTATTCTGCTTTTACCCATGACAGAGATGCGCATTTTCCCCTAAACATCCGGTTACAGCAACTTTGGAAGAGGATCCTGAACCAGGAGAACCTTGCCACTGATTTAGTTTGGCAAGTGCAAATGAACAATGTTTTATAACACCAGTAATATCAATATCAGAAAGAATTGAAGAAAATTGGGGTGGGAATGGGACATTACAGCCACATTTTAATTTGCAAAGTCATGGTTGTTACCACATGCTTCACTTATTGGATGAGTTACATGGCCTGTACAAATGGTGATTAGCATATTCTCATTTGGTTCATCTAAGTAGAATAAATAATCCTTTAATTTCTTTAAAGTGAGAAGTTGTTGTGGGTTTTTTTGCTTGTTTTTAATAGACCCATAGTAGCTATCTGCCTTCAAAATATTTGGGTCTGGGTTTTGTTTTTGTTTTAATAGCTTTAAATCAAAGAGTTGAATCAAAACAGCTGTACTTCCAGCAGGATAGTAATTCAGGAGGTTTCCCTGAATGAGTGAATTTGAGAAGGATGAATGCTGCATTCTTGATTCAGTTATTACCAATATTATTGTTCTTCAAGAAGCAATCCACCTGTGTTTCATTTCGATCACTATTTGTCTTTCCTGCTGACAAGGAAATGCTGACAATATTCACACAAAGAGAAGATGTGACTGCAACTGTTCAGTCTAACCTGGATGCTTCTTTTAAAGTTGCTCATTTTTTCCTTTAATTTCAGGTTCAGAACAATTATAATGGAGGATTGGAGGATTTATCTTTTTTTTAATCTGTTTCTATTTCTAGTTCTTCCACTGTCACTCTGACAAGTTAATTGATACTCATCCATGCAGCATAAACAGTAGAAACAATCACAGTTTACCAGCAGAAATCATGGAAATGAGGTACCTCTGTGATGTAGTTGTATTTTAACCCTTGTATTTCACGGATATTGAACTCCAGGGAGTCCCTACAGAATGCATCTCCTCTACTATTACTGCTCCTCTGCGATGATGGTGTAGTCTGTTTGATTATTCCATTTTATTTCTAGGTCCTCCTGGTCCCCCAGGGGTTGTAATAGTGGAGGAAATTTCAGACACAACAGCAACACTCTCCTGGAGTCCTGGGGCAGACAATCACAGCCCTATCTCCCTCTACAACCTGCAAGCACGCAGTCCATTTTCTCTTGGCTGGCAGACAGTAAAAACAGGTGAGAAAAACTTTCAAACAGAGCAACTAAACTGTTCAAAACTCCTGCTCATCACAATAATAACCACTGGCAACTGCAGGGACAGATAGAACAATGACAAATTAAAAGCACTGATTTTTTTTTTCTTTCTTTTTTCATTCCTTTTATGTTACTTAGCAACAGCTCTGAAAGGACAACACAAAGACACCTGCCATGCTGCATCTGTGAATAAGCAGAAAGCTCTCCCCTATATCTTTCAATCTGTGTCTTTTCAGGAGTACCACAGTGCCAAAAACCTAGCTGTGATTTATGACATATTAGATCCTTGATGTTTATCATTTCTAACGGCAATATTATATCAGAGTCCACTTGCCATTGAGACACTTGCATGTGAGCCTCAGATTTTTGAGTGAACTACACATTTCTTTACTGTCTCCAGTTCCAGATGTGATAAGTGGTGACATGGAGTCTGCTATGGCTGTTGAACTGAACCCTTGGGTGGAGTATGAGTTCAGAGTTGTAGCAACCAACAAAATTGGGACTGGAGACCCAAGTACACCATCACGAGTGATCAGAACCAATGAAGCAGGTAAGAAGAGGATAAAAAAGTTAATTTTCTAGGACTATCAGAAACAAGAACTTTTATATTTAAATATATAAAAATAGGCCTATACCCTTCTCCCTGGTACGCCTCTGTGTGTTCAGTAATCGCTGCTCCGGGGTGATATTTTTTGTAATGAGGAGCCATTTTGTTTTAATTACAGGAATAATGTTTAATTATTTTAAATAATATCTTATTTAAATTATTATTTTGATAGTAAACAAAAATGTCAAATAAACCCATTCTCTGCTGTCTTACTCCATCCAGACTACATTACTTTTCATCTGGTTTACGTTTAAGCTATTGCTGCCTGCCCTGTAGCAGGCTTCCACTGCTTTTCAGCTGTAGGCCGTTTTTCAGTCTCTTCAAACAACTGCTCCTGAGCAGTCTTTCCCTCCTTATTTTTCGTAACTTCTTTACTTGAAGGTGCACAGAGTTTTTTTCAGCAAGAGGGGAAAGTCATGGAAAGCAGCTTAATATGAAGTATCTTGTGCTCCAAGCGTTTCTTTGTCATGCACACTCTACCATGAATTGTTACTGCATTTAAAAAAATTTCATTGTATTTCTAACTGGGATGGTACTGTGAGAGCCCGGGAAAAATGTTTTGCATCCTATTTGGGACTCAGGAAAATTGCAGTGGTCTCACAAAGCTTGCAATCCTTGTAAGTAACTTGGGCAGAATGAAGAGACAAAAAGAGGGATTGGGAATCTGAGAAATATCCTTAGGCAGCTTCAGAAATACAGTTTAAGAGGCAGAAAGAGATAGAGAGAGGGTTTGAATAAAGCCTCAAAAGAGAACTGCATCTCAGAAGACTTTCAGATTATTCTTTATTCTTTGTTATTTAGGAGGCCTAGAGAGTTTTGATTTGATTTTGATGTTTCTTCAGATGAATAATTTGTAAGTATTTTGTTGATCATACCTAATAGAAGAGTGCCAAATTCAGAGATTCCCCTTGAATTTGAAAGTGTAATTGATTTTGTAGTTGTGACTATTCTGGACAAATACAGCAGTTGTGTTGCACTCTTTCTTCTCATTAAGGCAGATTGTAAGACTTACAAGTAGCAATGCCAAAATGTGTCCACCTCTCGCATTCTGAAATAAAATTCTTATCCTTTAAGGTATGTTAATCCTCTGCCTCAGCTCCATAGTTCACCAGTCTGTGTATATGCCATTCACATTCACAGCAGAATTTTCAGGCTGGTTTTCTTAGACAGGACCACAGAATTGACGGAATAATCAGGGCTGGAAGGGATCCTGGGAGATCTCTAGTCCAGCCTTCTGCTCAAAGCTGGGTAAACTGGCTTCAGAGCAGATTGCTCAGGCCTTTGTCCAGTGTTGTCTTTGTAACCTCCAAGGAGGGAGATTGCACATCCTTTCTGGACAACCTGTGCAAGCAGTTAACTAATCTCATTGTGATTTTAATTTCAATATATCCAGCTGGAGCTCCCCATATATCAACTTATGACCACTGTCTCTTGCTCTCCCACTGTCCCACCCTGCACCACTGTGCAGACCCCATCTCTGTCTCCTCAGTGACCTCCCCATAGGCACTGTTAGCACCCCCAAAGCCATCTCCGCTCAAGACTGAACAAGTCTGAACCAGCTTCCCCAGCCTTTCCTCACAAGGCAAATGCTCCAGTCCCACCATTCCAGTGGCCTCCTGTGAACCTCCTCTAGTCAATCAATGTCTTTCTCATTGTGGTACCCAGAACTGGCTGCGCTGTTTCAGATGAAGTCTAACAAACCTATCTTCAGTTGTATTAAGACTTTTTTTTTTTTTACTTCAAATAACTGTGTAGTTGCTGGCTGATATTAAATTTCACTGTGCAATCACCTAACTGCACTGAAGTGATTTGATTCCCCTTCATGCATGTGGAAGCATGCTTTCTTTCCAACTATCCTCCTCATCTTCTGAAAGCTCCCCACAGTGTGAAACTTGGTAACTATATAGCAGAAAATTCAGATGCTACACATGTTGTTCTGTAAGAAAAGAAGGAAAGGGAAATGAAATAAAAACCACCAGCTACTTTCATCTCAAATGATTTTCAAAAAAACCCTCTTATTTCACCACCATTTTTCTTCCCTTGATTTTGTTCCATATTTCATTGGAAGTGAAAATACTTCTAGACCCAAATGTTTGAATGACTTTCTATTTATTCAGGGGGTACTTATCACAGGGAACAAAAATATTCTGGAAAAAGTTTATCCTGTAATAGGGATTATGTTATCCTGTAATAGGGATTATGTTTTTTCACATATATGAGTATGTTCCCTGTGTTTGAAAGGATGGTTCTGGATATCAATCAGCCGGATATATTTAACTTGTGAGTGAATGTTCTTTTCATAAACTGAGGTTTGAAAATGTCAGATTTCCTCTAGCTGTCATGTTTTTTAGGTTTCTTCTTTTTCTTTCCCAGTGTTTATCGAACAAAGGCTGTATTTACTATAACACATTCCTACAACACTAATGAAAGTCTTCATGCACATCCATTTTTAGCATTCCTTTGAACAATCACTGCAACTTCACCTCTGTAAAAATGAATTAGAATCATAGAATAGTTAGGGTTGGAAAGGACCTTAAGATCATCAAGTTCCAGCCCTCCTGCCATGGGCAGGGACACCTCACACTAAACCATGTCACCCAAGGCTGTGTCCAACCTGGCCTTGAACACTGCCAGGGATGGAGCATTCACAACCTCCCTGGGCAACCCATTCCAGTGCCTCACCACCCTAACAGGAAAGAATTTCCTCCTTATATCCAATCTAAACTTCCCCTGTTTAAGTTTTAACCCATTACCCCTTGTCTTATCACTACAGTCCCTAATGAAAAGTCCCTCCCCAGCATCCTCCTAGGCCCCCTTCAGATACTGGAAGGCTGCTATGAGGTCTCCACGCAGCCTTCTCTTCTCCAGGCTGAACAGCCCCAGCTTTCTCAGCCTGTCTTCATATGTTATTCATGAAATAGTAATCCTGGGACAGACAAAGCATGCAGTGTACAGTGTATTTTCACTCAGTGATTGGCATTAATTTCTGGGTAATACTCCACTATTGCTGCTACCAGAAGGAACAGTTTTAAACTCAAGTGGCAATGATCTGCACTCCAGTATGTGGGGGTCCTCCTGATAAACAGCAATGTAGCTGATAACAATACAGGCCTTCCTGAATAATAAATCAGCAACACATTAGTTCAAATAGGAAAAATGGGACACTAGTTGCTTACTTGCACTTTCAGCTTCCCAGTTAGGAATAGCTTTTTGCTACCAGATTTACAGCTGCACAAATGTCATTTTAGAAGGGAGCATTTTGTAGTATGACACCGAAATCCAGACAGCTGCCAGTAAAACAACTCAACAGCCTTCAGAGAAATTGAAACTGAATTTATTTGGTGTGCCTGCTTAACACGGCATGGAACAGCAGAAGTTTGTAGCCATCACCTCAATTTCAAAAGACTTTCTGTAAGAAAAGATTTGGTTTCTGTTTCAGTTCTGAATGGTTTGGGGGTTTCCGTTGGTTATTTTGGTGTTTTGTTTTTTTTTGTAGAAAAGGTAGATGCAATATTCTATAGAGGGAATGAGAAGATGGGAGTTACAATAAGACATAATCTCCCAGTTTGTTAGAATCTGCAAAGAGCTGTGAAGTCAGAACACAATGGACTCTGCTTTAAACAAAGAACCATTAATAAAAAATAAAAAAAACAAATCAAACAACTTGTTACACATACAGTTCTCTGCAAAAGAGCATGCTGCTTATTATTTTTATGGCACTTTTGAAATGACTTCATAGAATCATAGAATCATGACATGTTTCAGCAGAAGCATTTTTTTGCTAAAAAAATAAAATAAAAAAGCAGCCACTTTTTCCTGATCTTCAGACATTCCCAAAGTGCAGATCCTGTTTGGCTCTCTCCTCTGAGACAGAGACTGTGTGAATTATCACCCTTGGTATAGTTTTCAGATGCCAACAGGAAATCTAATAATAGTTTTCTCTGGATTTCATATCTGGTTTTCCAGATTAGCACATTAATATCTGTCTTGGTGCACCCAGTCATCCATTATTTTTTCAGAATGCCTCTAATACCTATTTTTATCTGAAGGCTTCAAGGGAAAATCTCTGTTAACATGGGATCCAGTTCTAATACCATAGCTTTCAAGTTGTAAAAGACATATACTTGAAAGGACATATTTCAGAAAGAACATGGCATCAGTCTCTCTGCTTATGACCCAGGCAGAGCAACCTGGCAATTTTCAGTGATCACAGATGTGCCCCACAAGTGAAAACAGGTAGGCTGCCCTGCAGTGGGTAAAATTCCTGAAATACCAGTCCCCCAGTGGAGAAGGTGACTGTGTCTCATGCTTAAAAGAGAGTTGAGATCCACCAGGCTGAATGATAACTGTGTAGACAGCCCACAGAGGCAGCAAATCTGTGATTCTGCTTCCCGTATTTTATACTTAAGTGGAAATTGTCATCTTTAATTTAATGGCACAAGCTAATTTGACTGGAGACTGAAGGCTTTTTCTCTCCCCACACCTCGCTTACTTTATCACTTCTTCCCCATGATGAGAGCAACGTTTCATATTAGACCATTATCTAAAAATACCCATGAAAACAATACTAGGGATGCTATAAGGAAATCAACAGAATAATAAACAGGTTTCCACTTGCTTTAATTTTCTAATTAAATTCTAATCTTATTACTTAGTTCGTATTTAGTTAACATGTTTGCTTTTCATAGCTACTTTCATCAGAATGGATAATACTGCAATTTTCTGGCACATCTAACTTTTAGCCAGCTGCTGCATTTCTGTCAGTTCTAGCCTTGATACATATTTTACAGGTCCACAAGGTGAAAAGAACCAATAACATGAATTTAAACATGTCTGGCATTCCACTAAGGCAGTCGGTCATTTGAAGCCTGGGGCCAAAGCATCAATTACATTATCTATTCATGGGAAAACATGGGGAGAGAGAAATTGAGTAGAATCAAAGTTTAACCTGCTAATCATGCATGCAAACTTGATTTTACAAGGTAACAATGATGCAGTGCACTCTATTAGTAACAGGTTATACTCAGGCTTTATCTTTAATAAGCTCTTATTTTCCATTATGTCGCACTTACTTTCAGCTAGAATTTCTTCATAGTGTAACAGGAAAGGCCTCTGTCCAGGGGAAAAAAAAAAGAAAGATACCTGGTTTAGACTGACTTTGTTTTAGGGTTCTTCTGTTGTTGGGAGTGGTGCTCTCTTTGTTTGTGACCTGTATAAAAGAAGCTTCAGCTTTTCCCATTGTCATAAGTATTTTTTGCTCTTAAAAAAATAATTAATAACCTCCTGTATATGTGACATTTGGAGATGATTACATGGGCTACTAGAAAATGTGCTTTTCCATAGAGAAAAACAAAGGAGGATATACCCATGACTGCATGGGTATATTTAGAAACAATAGGCTGCTAATGCATGCTATTGCAGGCTCAATATAATATGCACTATATATTGGCAAACAATCAAAATGTGTGTGATGCCAAAAGAATAACAGGAAGGGTAAGGAATTGGTTCTCTGGCATATATATAATAGCTTTTGAGATTTCAGTCCTGTATGTGGGGATCTGGAGGCTATTCAGACACAGATGACACATGACAGGATTATCAGTGAATAGAACTGAATTCTGTCCCCTACTAAACTACTAATATTAAAAACACAGATGAAGTGAGAAAGGAAATGCAGATCCTGAGACCAGTTGGGGCATCCCTGTTTTCCACTAGTTGAATAGAGTGTATTATCCACTTCTGAGATGCTAGCAGGTTTTGCATTCCTGAACAGATGAGATGTGAAATGTTTCGTGGGAGGGTGTGAACTTGAGGGCTGGCCTTCACACACTGAAAGGGTTTTCACTTATCATCTCTGTTTTCCAGATGTGTACTGCAGGAGATACCATTAGGAGACATATATACACACACACACACACACACACAAATATATAAAATCTATATAGAAAGGAAAAGAACTGAGAAGAAAATGGCCTTTGGTGATATGATTTAGCGTAAGGTGTCCCTGCCCACGGCAGGAGGGGTGGAACTAGATGATCTTAAGGTCCTTTCCAACCCTAACGATTCTGTGATTCTATGATTCTATGAAAATACTGATGAATGTGCTGTTGCTTTGGTCCTCACATGAAGTGCTGCAACAAACCCTTTCCTTCTAAACCACACATTATCCACAACTAAGAGGGCTAGTTTTCAAACTCCATTTGTACTTTGAAATTCGTAAGGTTTGGGTAAGATTTTGGAAGTGGTAGTTAATATCATAGCTATGAAACCATGAATATTTGGGGTGGATGTTAGCTTCCCTTCAAGCATTCCACTGTGTCCAACATTTTGAAAACTGCTCTCTGCTTGTGTTTAAACTAGTTCTAAAAGTTCCCCTCTCTTCACTCTGCCCTTATTTTTATTTATCAATGAAAACTGTGGGTTCTGGTAGACCGTAAAGATGAGCTCAATCAAAGATTTTGGGTACTTGCTTTTGGGCAAAATATTGAAAATTGTTATATATTTCATTCTGACATTATAATGAATGAAACATAGGCATTTGTGTTTAAAAACAGGTACAGTTTGAATTTTACACGTAGGTGGCATTATCGGCACTTTTCTGCACTTTATAACCACTGCTCCCATACACAAAGCCCTCAGCAACACTAGTTCTGTGCATACATTTTGTCCTAAACAAACACCACAGTTTTTCATGCATAAGATATGCCTGAATTATTAAACAACTTGCCTCAGCTTCATATATAAACTTTACCTTTCCATATCACCTTTCCTTCATTAATAGTTTAAGCATATTGTCAAATGCTCCATAGGACTGCTGAGGGCTACATTCTTTGTGCCTGCTCTTAGGCAAAATTTTGAAGGTTTTTTTTTGTTTGGTGTAGGGGTTATAAGTTTTAATAGTGCTTAATTTCACTTTCATTTTCAGTATATCACGGTACTTCCATGGAAATGCAAACACAATAAAAAAAAAACCCTGCTGTTTCTGTTTAAATCAAACTCCTGGCAGGACCATTTCAAGATTTTTGTTTGTTTGTCTCAAGTGGATGTTTCAACATCAGCTTGTGCCGGCATACAACATTATTTACTTTGACCTACATCTGGTAACTGTGTCTTTCAGAGCAGAGGTTTTAGTGACTATTTGTTGTTCTCATTACCGGAACAACAAAGAGACCTGGATTTTAACTCGCAGCATTGCAAGTGGTTGCAGAAACAAATAAAAAGAGGAGATGACCTGATCCCAAAGGGCTTATGGTCTAAGAATAAAACAGGAGACAGGTGAGAATAGGTAGCTGACAAAGGGGCTTATGAGAAGGGTTTGATCAGAATCACAGGCATATGATCAAGCTAAGCATAGTCACATTTTATGATCCTAAGGACCAGTTTTAAGCAAAGGAAACATTTATTTTCCAGTTGGTGATGTTCTCTCATCTTCTTGTTAAATGAGACATACTAATACACAAAGAGCTCTTTGCTACTAATTGGGGTGTATTTATCCAGAAGAAATGATACTGAATTTCTCAGCTTTGATAAACATTAAAGAAAAGAGTTCCTAATGTCCTCATTCCCCAGGCTCAATGGATCCTGTCCAGGAGCCAAGTTTAGTCATCATGCTTTGGTGCAAGTGCATCTCCATGAGTGTCACTGCTGAGAATTAACAACTTAAAGACTGGAAAGTCACTAATTGCATGGCAATAAACGTAGGCTATGAATAAGTAAATTCAGATATAGCACTGATATAAAGGTGATGCTGCTGAAAGGTTTGCTAGTATATAAGCTCAGTGCCTTGCAAAAACTGTTTTCTTTTAATAGTTTTCTTCTCTTAATAGTTACTTATTTCAAAATGTCCTCCTCTAAGTGTGTATAATCTGCTTTGGTGCAGTGCAGAGGAAATTTATTCCTTTGACACATTTATTCTTTTAATGGTTATTCATTTGAGAGAGTTTCACTGTGTGAATGTACATTTTAGTTTGGTGCAAAAGAAATCCATCGTTTTGACAGTTTTATTCTTGTAACATTTATTCATTTAAATAGGTCTTCAGTCTGCAAAACTGTTAATAAGAAAACTCTAGAAGGAGGACACTGCAGGTTAAATAAGCCCATCATGTTGGGTGCTTCAAAGGAGTACAGCATACTCTCTCATCAGGAACATGGCACCTACATAAAAACTTCATCTTTATAACTTTATCTTTATAACTTACCCCCAAAAAATCTCTTAAAAGGCAAGAGAAAAATGGGTGCTACACAAGGTTTAAATATGCTCCATTAGAGATGGCCTCACAATTTTTGCTTGTTAAATAACAGACAGATGATTCTTCATCTGCATCTTTTCACTGTAGAACATTCATCCCACTGTTGCACACTGATTATTTTTGTTTATTTATTAAATTAAGGAAGGAAAAGAACACAGATAAAATGTAAATCAGAAGCAATTCATAAGCTTTGTGGGTCTGCAACATTTATGTAAAAAAACAGAATAGCACTTAGGTTCTTTAAAGGGGAGTTCAGAGTTCAAACAGATAATACACAAATGAATTCTGAAATTTTATGTGAACTTCCAGGATCTAGTAAAAACTACACTTTCATTGATCTTAATTTGTTAATGATCAACATGGAAAATAAAGAGTACTGAACATTTATTTAAATGTATTTTTCTTTGCATAGTTCAAAGGCACTGTGCTACACAATAAATCAGCTAAAGAGAACACTCTTTCTCAGTTAATGCCTCACAGTGTGTTTCTACCAATGACCTATGTACTGCTGTAAAGAAGAAAAGAGAAAGTTTTTCACTTAGGACATATTTAATCAAATAAAGAAAGCAAATGATATCAAAACATTAATCATTTGGAAAGCACTAAGTAAGATAAAAGAAATTATACAACTCCAGTGGAACAATTAAGATTTTTAGTTTTGCAAAATATGATAACCAAATTCACACTGTTGGTGATAATTATAATTACTTTTAAAGAATTTCATCAGCTGCTCATATGTGCTTTTAAAACCATAATTGTAGCCTCAGTTTTAAAGAACTGTGTAGTACTGATTCCAGCCTTATGAAAGAAATGATAGAGGATGTTTAAGCATGGTTACTTTAAAATTTCTGAAAATTGCCTTCCTGATAAAGCATACAAGAAAGATTTGCAAGAACTGACATTCAAAATCCCTAATGACCTGGGAAACAGTAGAGATATACCATTTGTGGCCTAAGACTTTACTTGAAGTCTGAAATATGTCAAGCTCTTCCCTGACATTTGTTTTTGAGTTGTCTATTCAAAAAATATAAATATTATCAAGATAGTTCCTGGTTTGCTTCTTAGATGATCTGTATATTAAAATTCTGACTAAGCTGCAGAAGGCATCCTACTTAAGCAGCTTTTTTTCAGTATTATTTGTCTTCTTAGCTGATGCTTTGTTTGAGTTTACCAGCTTGACTGTAGCTCTGAAATGAAACTTGAGCAAATTTTCTTGACCACAGACTGCTATGTTTGTTATTTCTGTTCTGATTTAACAGCCTTATATCTGCTTCAGCGACTTATTACTATGGGGAAAACTTTAATAACTTGGACATTTTGTTTTGTTTAGCTTTGGTTTTTTTTGTTTTTCCTTTTTGCTCACAGTTCCAAAGACACCTCCAGCTAATGTAAGTGGCAGAAGTGGAAGGCGACATGAATTAGTAATAGCATGGGAGGTAAGGGACTTTTCTGATTAAAGGCTTTGTTTCATGTTTACTTCTTTGAGGGCAAAGTAAAGAGTAGTGTACTGGGGTTTCCTTACATCAAATCTTGGCAGGACATGAACACAAAATACTGTTCTCTAAATATGTTCTAAAGTTTTGAAGCAATGTGCATTTTCATGTGGTTTGAGTAGAGGACACTATAGTGCAGCTCAATAGCTGTGCTAATTATTAAATCTTTTCTTCCTGGTCTACTGCTTGGGTTGATTTTATTTTTCTGGATCTTATGCAGATGCTACATTAGATGAAATAATAGCTATGGGAATAGAAGGAAAGCCTTGTAGCTGTTTTGTGCTTTTTGTTTTTGTTTTGTTTTTTTTAACTTGAGAATTATTTGGTTTAAGCATTTAGTAAAAATATAAAACTAAAGACTTGAAATAAACCTTTATTTTGAGAAGATATTTGTGATACAAGATAAAACGCAGATACGTGACTGCATTAGTGGGCAACTGCAGGAATTGCTTTCTCTGCTAATAGAAAATGATGCAGGAGAACAGAGACTTTTCTTGAGGACTTTTCAAAACTTCTAGATTCATTATAAAGTTTCAGATTCAGAAAATGTACGTATACATACGTATAAACCCAAGAACAATTACATCAAATAAGGACATGGGATTTTAATGATAAACATTTTAGCCTAGCCAACTTTAGGAGAGATTCAGATATTTAGAAACACACGGAATTCTAACTGCTTAAAATGGTGAATTTTAAGACATCTTAAAAGGCTGTATTCTGTTGGCATATTTGTCTTCTCCTACACCAGCTAGCTGAAACAACTGATAGAGCAGATTTGCTTTATAGTCTATAACCATAAACAGCAGCAACTCTCCTAGTGGAAGAGTAAAAGCCTATAATGCAACTGTAAGGGATCATTCTCGCACAAGCAGCCAGATTATGGGCAACTACTCTGTGGCTTCTTTGTAAATCTGATCATTACCTGAACTTTATTTTTTTAGCCAGTGTCAGAAGAGTTTCAGAATGGACAAGGATTTGGATATATTGTAGCCTTCAGACCCAATGGAACACGTGGCTGGAAGGAAAAAATGGTGACATCTTCAGATGCCTCAAAGTTCATCTACAGAGATGAAAGCGTGCCACCTCTGACTCCTTTTGAGGTGAAGGTTGGTGTTTACAACAACAAAGGAGATGGTCCCTTCAGCCCTATTGTGGTCATCTGCTCAGCTGAAGGAGGTCAGTTCAACATGAAGTTAACTTGTATACTATGAGCTATACTACGCTATTTTTTATATAATGTGTTCTGTTATACTATGCTTTTTCAATCTTCAGTTTCAAAATTCTTTGAAGAAGTGCTATATAACATTAAGCATGCTTTGCAGAGAAGGAGATGAACTGATTTGCCAAGGTTCCCCAGAAAACAAGTGAGAAAGGTTAGGAAAAGACATCAAGACACATCAGTCCTAATCAAAAAACCAAAAGTTTTAATGAAATTTCATCCCTAATATGAAATCTGAAGTCTTAACTTTAAGATGGGCTGCTCTAACAATGAGCAAAGAAGGGCTGATATTTTCTAATGTTTCTGCAGTTCATGATAATTTTTGATGGGTTAATCAGAGAACAGCTCAAAGACTAAATAAATTCACTTATCAATGTTCATTACCTGGTTAATGAATAGCAAAAATTGCAGAGTGCAATTTTTTTTCTTATTTTTATTTTTTCTATTGTTTTCTCTTTTTAGTTAATTAGTATAAAAGTTCTGAATTTGTATTAATGTCTAAATATTCAATGTGAATTGCTGTAATAATTCAGAAGAACAAATGAAAAATATTTCTTATATTTCTTGAAAATTTCTGTTTTAGCTTGGTATGACACTCAACAGGATTTTGTAAAAAAATAACAAACCAAAAAAAAGCAAGAAAAATTAAAAAAAAAACCCAAGAAAAATAAAAAACCCAGACAAAACAAATCAAATTTATACTAGCAAAAGGAGTTGTTCTGTATTGACTATTAACAGAGGCCAGTGTTTGGAAATTTCCATACACAAAAATGGTAAATAAATGTTATCCACGGGAACATTTTAGCAGTTCCATTACTGCAAGTCATATACTTCAGTTCTTCTTTACTATGCCATCTTTGATTTATCCCAATGTCTCCTGTTAAAAGAGTAAGTACAGATGGATGGGATGAATTTCATAATATATCTACAAAAATGTAGTGTCAAGATAATGGCATTTCATGTGAAGCTGGAAACCATTAAATGTTATTTTATATTAGCCTACAATAAATGTGTCATTTTGGAGCCATGATGAAGTACAGATTATATACTGCTCTTCTTTCATATTAATTACAGAGGTTGGAAATGCTGTTTTTGCTAAAAGCAGTTCCAGTAATTTGTTTGTGTTCCACTGTTTGGATCAGCATTACTAAGCGTTCATATTACTTTGAAAACAATTACACTTTAAAATGTAAAAATTGCCCCTTTCAACTTGGAAATTTTACAGCTGACATCCCTCATTGACGTTCCTCAATGGAAAATGATATTGTGATACCAGTGGTTATGCTTTTATTATTTAAAAATTTCATACTCTAATCAGAAAGTTCAGTAAAGACAGAGTTTTGCAAGGGGAGACAAAACCTTAATGGATTTCTTTTAAAAAGCAAAAGCTATTTTAAAAAAATTTGAATACGTAATTGTACTAAGTAGTCCTTAGCTTGTTTTTTGGACAAGACTGGAGAAGGCATAATCAGTAATATATATATATATATATATATTGTTTTTTCTAACATTTATTTTAAAAATATGAACTTTACAAATTAAGTTAATAGAATTATTAAAATTAACCTTTGACACTCTCAGAGGCTGTCTCTAGGAAACAAGTTTCCTGATTATAGTTCGGTTACTTGAAAGTACCTACCCATCATAACTTTGCTAATTCAGTCTTTGTGTGTGTCTGTACATTAGACTTCCCTTTGGTAAGAGGAATTGTATGGGGCTAAATATTTTCTAAGACTTGTATTTGAGGAAAAAATATGGGATGCTGTGACAATACAGTGCTAAATTAATTTATAAAAAGCTTTTCTCCAGAATAACCCTAGGTGATACACTGGAAATTTAAAGGAGTGACAAAAGAGTTTATTATACCCAAGTTCTTGGCAGTATGGACACTGAGGACAATAGACATTTCAGCTTGCTATATATAAGAAAAGGGGGAGCTTGTTTTGAAGGAGGCATGGACTTTCACACTTAAGAAGCTAAACAACTGAAGGTACTTTTTCCCAATGATTCCTGTTGAAGAGGAGATATTAAATAAAGATTGACAGTACAATATATTATGGTCCTAGGGCTGATCTAGCAAACCCTGAGTTTACTTGCTTTTCATAATACACTCAATTCACTCCTCTGCAAACATCTAGAATAAAGGCCTAGGATAAAACTATTAAAAGTTAAGGAAACTTTATATTACATATTAAAACGTTTCCCACACCTACAGATGGATCTGGAGTTGTTTACTGGCATAGCTCATTTGTGTAAGGAAGTCTAAAACCTGTTGCCTGTGCACACAGGATAAAACCAAGAGTTTCCATAGGACAGGTTCTGGACAAGGAAAAAATTCTCTCTTTTTTGTATGACTGTGACTACATATTGTATGCTCTGATCTACATTGAGAGCCCGTTCACGGTGGTGCTGAGCTGTGCCTAGGCAAGCAGCTTGGGAGGTGGTATTGAATAAAATTTTTCCCTCTCTGAACACAACTGGCTTCCCTCTGTTTATAAAGAGTCTCTGACTGGGGCAAGAGGCTTAAAAAACAACCTCAGAAAACATGAGCCAAACACTGAGCACTTTTTCATAAGTAAATAGAGAGGCTAACACTTTTACCTCTGTCTCTAAGTCAGATATTTAGAAGATAATATGACACAAATCATTACTGAAGGATCAAGGATGGTGATAACCCAGACTTAGAGTGGGGAAAAAATATGACTGGCTATAGTTGGTTTAAGACATGTCTTTTCCTTCATTGGCCTTTTGACTTCATAGGAAACATCACTAAGATACACCTCATGGGAGAGATTATCCAGGAGCTAAAGACGCAGATGAATGTAACTGAAGAATAGAGAACTGAAGAATAGAGAATGGAGACGCATTCTGTTGTACAAAGCTAGTTAGATAATTCAGGAGGAAAAAAGGCTAATGTGACCCTCTGGAAAAGATAGCTTAATGCAGTAGAAAAGCTGGAAGGGATCTTCCCTGGAGACCTTAGCAGAGGAAGAAAGCAAACAATCAAGGGGAGAAGAAGAAAAGCGGAAGTCAGATGTTTTAGTGAAGTAAAAGAGATAACAAGAGCGAAGGACCAGTTCTGAACAGGGAATGAGGATGATATACAGAAGATGCAGGATAGGAAAAAAAAAGATGTGCAATTATCTTCAGTAAGAAAGCAGAAGGACACAACAGACATGTTAAAGCACCAGGGAAAGACAAGCCTGAACCTTTCATGAAGGAACCCTTTAACAGAAAGAGACACCAGAACACATGGGGAGCACAGCAAGCTAGGCTGCCTGCCAGAAGAAAGGCTGCAATGTGCAAATCTAACACTGAAAAGGATCATAAACAGCAGGGACAAGCCTTCTGACTGTACTCTCTGCCAGGAAAAGAATGGTATCAGGCTCAAGCTAGAGTGTACTGAAACAAAGCACTGCTGTGCAGGCACAGATGAGCGTGACCCATAGAGAATGAAAATTGTAAAGGCATAAGTTATTGAAAATAAAACCATTAACACAAGCAGTGTTAGGTACTGTTTGTTTTCACGTTTATATATTCTTTGGAGATTTTTTCTTGATGACTACATTCCATTTAAATACTGAGTGGCTAAGAATGCCAAGACTACTAATACAAGCTTTCAGTGTCAGGGAAATCATATGGAATCTCTATGTGTGGTTTTAATTCACTGGAAGAGGAAAACTGGAAAAATTGGAAATATAGCAATGGAAAAGAAAATATGAGACTGCGAAAGTGTACTTGCAAGAAGATGAAAAAGGCTGTACTGATAAGAATGATGTCTGGTAGGCTTGCTTTAGCAAGCATGACTAGACAAAGTATAAACTACATAGGATAGAAAAGAAAGTAAAAATGGCTGGATGTCATAGCATGCTGATGATGCGATAACATATCAGGAAATAGAATACCAGTGTTTGGATAAAAAAGAATATCCTTGGGTTCTATGTCATTTCAGAAAAGGGCATTTCAGAAACTGGGAGTCAAAGTAGAGGTCAGTTGCTGATTGCCCTTATCAATTTGGATGCTGAGAAAGACCTTTTTAATTGTAGATAATTATTACAGGACACCTTCATTTATGAGAGAATTTAGCTGCTCAGGGTAGTTTGGCTAGTAAATAAAACTAATGACCTTGTGTTCTGCTGTGATAGTTATCAGATTCTTTATCCAGTACTGACTAAGAGGAAATAAAGGTGCTATAGTCTTGTTTTGATGAATAAGTAAGACACTATGGAAAAGCTGATCATAACAAATAACAATTTTTGAGAATAACAATTAATGAGAATATTACTTAATAAACTCGAATTAGCAGTTGAGACTAGACATGAAAGTGTTTTGGAAAGTCTCTGAGCCAAAGGTGTAAAATCTACCTGAAGTTTATACTGTAAGAAATGGTACATTTCTGAGGCAGTACATTATATCTGAGGATCTAGAGGTGTACCTACTAGAGGTATTCATAATAAGTAAAAGGTACGCTTAATAAAGTCTACAAAAAATAAGCTGAAAAAAATATTCTTTAAAAGTTAGGCAGGTATATAAAGCAGGACATGATGTGAAGTGTGTAAGTTACTGATATTAAAGATAAGGAATAGATGAACAATAATGAATTACTTTATCATTTATTTTTAATAAATAAGGTGATATATGTAGGATAGATAATAAGAATGAGAAAATCTGCAAATTTTTACACCTGTAGTGAAAACTTCTGGCATTTTCATGTGCTCAAGGACCTGGGGCAGGATCTTTTCTATCCCAAAATAATGTAAACAAGGAACAGTTGGAAAAAAAAACAAACACCACAGTTACTTTATTAAGAAAATAACCCAAATATTTCAGAGTACAGGGAAAAAAAAAAACAACAAAAGAATTCCCCCCCCCCCCCCCGAAAAAAAAAACAAAAACATTTACCACCAGACTTGCAAAAGGCTTGGAAAGTTAATAGCAAAATTCCTTAAAGACCATT